TTCAGACCAGGTGATAACAAAGGGTAGATTTCAGTCCTAAAGCGCTGTCTTACTTAGAAACAAGAGTACAGAGAAAAGCATCCCAGACCTTTGCATGAGAATTATCTATTTGGAAGGTAAGTTTTTAGGAATTAGGAACTTGAATGAAATTAACATTTAAAATCAAGGCAATTAAAGGAAAAATTTCAAAATTATAAAGAAGATTGAAAGCTGATTCTGGAGAAGTAGTTTCAACCTTTAATTTTTCTTTAATGAGAGTAAAAGAAGACTGTAATAACGGGTAGTGTTACCTATTGCTTTATATTTAGAAGATGAGCAAGTCATGTTGACAGAAGTGTGAGCCTGACTTCTGGCATACTCTATAAAATATAGGTTCCCTCTGGCTTCTTAGTCTGAACCATTTGTTTCTTGTATTTTTACAGTAGTTCAATCCTCATTACCGTAATAATTATAACATAACTATGAAACAATATCTTTTTTGTTTGTTTTTTGTTTTTTTGAGACAGGATCTCACTGTGTAGTTCAGGCTGGCCTTGAATTCACTGTGTAGCTCAGGCTGGCCTTGAACTTGTGATGATCCTCCTATCTCAGCCTCTTTTTGTTTTGTTTTGTTTTTTGTTTTTGGTACCGGGGAAGGCAGGTGGTGGAACCATGGAGCTAAATCCCCAGCCATAGACTTTTTTTTTTTTTGGTACTGGGTCTCAAACTCAGGACCTAGCACTTCCAAAGCAGGTGGTGGAACCACTGAGCTAAATCCCCGGCCATAGACTTTTTTTTTTTGGTACTGGTGATGGAACTCGGGTCCTTGCACTTGCAAAGCAAGCAGTGAAAACACTGAGCTAAATCCCCAGGCCATATCTCAGCCTCTTGAGTGCTAGGGTTACAGGCATGCGCCACCACACCTAGCATATCTTTTGTTTTACCTGCTCTGTGAAAGTTATTAGGTTCCCATTGCATATTCTTCAATAAAAAATGTCCAAATTATAGAGATTATATCTTCTCTTCAATTAACAGAACTAGAGTTTGTTAGTCATTAACATTCCTTAGGCTCTGGTACAAATAGTAATATTTTTTAACTTCAGGTGAATTTATACTACATAATTGATATATTTCCCTTAGTCACACTAGAATGTATTGCAGGTATACTTATCCCTACAAAGGCTTTATTGAAGTGTAACCGATTATATTTATGATCCCAAATATGAGTAAGCCATGACTGCACATTCAGTTTAGCCTTTTTCTGGAAATCCTCAACAGCATAGCCCTTTCTGGAGCCAGTGTTTGCCTCTGGCTAGCAGTGTGAGTGTGAAAAGTCACACATATCTTATCTGGAGAGGATTTGAATCTCCCCTTTCTTAAAAAAAAAAATGTTGGTAACTCCTATTTACTACCCAGCTGTAACATTTACCAATATTTTGCTAATTTTTAAATTAATTTTCAGTTTTTCCTGCCCCTCCCTCAAAAGGAATCCTAGTTACTTACATCATCTTGGGCATAAAATTTTAACCATGTATTTCCAACTACCAGGTATATTTTCAAAACATGACCGTCTCATTCTCACATTTAGTAAAATTAGGGCTTCTTAACGCCATCTAATGTTAGTTCACAAATGTCTTCTCTTGTCTCCAAGTGAATTTTTGTAGTTGCTTTGTTCATATCAGGATCCAAGTAAACTCTGAGTGTTTATAGTTGTGATTTGAATGTGATGTCCTTTGAGTCCTTCCCAACCCATTTTCTTTTTCATATCATTGATTTATGCAGAAACCAGGTCATTTGTCCTAGAACTGCCCCACATTTCAAACTTGGTCTAATCTTTCTTTGTGGTATCTAACTTGTTCCTCCATTGCCTGCATATCTTGTAAATTAGTAGTTAAATTTAGAGACTTGATTAAAATTTAGTGATTTATTTTTTAAAGTTTTTAAAGAATACTTCATAGGAAGTTTATTATAAACACATAAACTACTTGGTTGTTCACTTTAAGCGATGTTGAAATGCATTGAAGGTTGAGGTCAGATTACTGTTTTAAAATTCCCCATCAACCTTTAACCTAATGCTTTCAGCATCCATTGATAATTATTGCCTGTTCTATTATTTATAATCATTTCTTCTGAGTTTATTCTCTGGAATTACCTACAACTAGAATTTCTTTCTTTAATTATTTAGTGCCCCTGAAATATGGTTCTTAGAAGAAAAACAAGGTAAAACTTACTGTCTTCCTTTTATATGTTAGTTTGTAACCTCTAATGGAGACAGTCAGGGTTCCCCTCCTCTGCCCTTTTTTCTGCTTTTCTTTCATATCATTTAAAATTTCTGGATCCATTACAGTAATTCTTTTGAATAAAAGTTGATTTTCATATCCACACAAAAATATATTCCAGGCTAATCCTGTACATTGTGTATTTCTTCCCTCAGCTCTGTGGCAGCCATATCTCCAAGGCATCCTGACTCCTTTTGGTGAGAGAAAAGTATTTAGCTAATACAATCTGGAAGTGTGTAGGGAAAATGCCTTTCCATTGGACAGTGTTTGAAAACACACACATATTTTAAGAATTATGAAAATGCATGGCCTTATGCTATTTCCTTTTTAAATTTATAGGCTTTTACTTTTCTCATTTTTATTATAATATTCTTTATATTAAAAATTTTGGTTCCTGCAGGTATTTCATAATTTTTGCTTGTATTATCTTATATCTAGAGCAGTTTTCAAATAGCAGTATCAATAGGTTTCTTTGTGGTTCTTTTTTTTTAAATGAATTTTATTGGTACATTTTAGGTATATAATATAATGACATTCATCATTGGAAATTTGCACCTTTACATAATCTCTCTTGGTTCTTATTTTTTCCCCATTCCCCTGCCCTCCCTTCAACTACTCCATCCCTCCCTATTTACAAAGACTTTGTTTCCTTTTTTTCATTTTCTCATATTCCATTCTTTGGGGTTCTTTTAAATTTTAATTATAGTGTCACTTGGCTTGTATAATATACCTTCTGTTTTAAAAATTGCTTAAATATTGTACAACCAATATTATAATAGCAATAGGAATTTAAAAATAAAGATACTACCCAGAATTCTATTTTTTTTTTTTTCTCTGTGTAGTTCTACTTGCCAGTCAATATATATTTTGGTTTCATTTATTTTTGTTTTCAGGTTTTGGAGTTTTTTCCCTAACTCCCCTCCCCCTGGACCTCCTATGCTGAGGATTTATCCCAGGGCCTTCACACTAAGCTGCATTGAGCACTTTTACTTTTTTTTTTTTTTTTCCTCCTCTTTTTCTCAGAAACGGGGGATAGAACTCAGGATGGAGTGGTGTCACTGACCTAAATTCCTATCCCCTGGCACTTTTATTTTTGAAACAGAGACTTGCTAAGTTGCCCAGTCTGGGCTTGAACTTGCTATCTTCCTGTTTCACCTCCCAGAGAGCTGGAAGTACAGGCCTGAGCCACCATGCCTGGCTTTCATTCCTTATTTTTAAGTAGAGGCACAAAGTAAGCTTTTTGTGCCTCTACTTTTTTCCAGGGTCCATTTATTGTATTGCACATTTGAAGGGTCTCACCATTATCCCTGTTTACTCTTTTCTTTTTTCCTCCTCTATAAATAGCCATTTTTATTTTTATTAGCTTGTAATTTATCCTTCCCATTTTTTTTGGAAAATATAAGGAAATTATCTGTGGATATAGATATAATATCACTCATCCTTAAATACTTTACCTAGTCCTTTTTTTTTCCTTCCTTTTCTTTCTCTCTCATTCCCTATTCCCTTCCCCTTCTATTCCTTGTGCTGGCATGGTGGAACCCAGGATCTTGAGCATGTTAGGCAGAGTCTACCATTAAACTACACCTCAGCCCATGATATCCCTTTTAACTTAATGTGCTAATGTGAGATTTATCCTTGTTCCTTTTTTTACAGTTTCATAGTCTTCTTTGGCTTTGATTGGCTTTTAGGTATTGCATTAGCTGATTTTGGGGTCAATGTCTCTTAATGGGAAGGGGAAAGGAAGACAGTACTTACTTATTAAACTGTGTGTCCTTTACTCTGTGAGGTAAGATTGCCTCCCAACCTCCATTTTTTTTCTTTTTCTTTTCTTTTTTTGGTACTGGGAATCGAAGTCAGGACCTTATGCTTGTGAGGCAGGCAGCGGAACCACTGAGCTAAATCCCCGACCCCCCAGCCTCCCATTTTTAAAGAGGAGGAAATTAATGTTCAGCAAGATGTAGCAACATATTTCTGGTCATGTGACCAGTAAGAGATAGAGCCATAGATAAGGATTTGGCTCTGATTGTTTGTTGTCTGATGTGTCAAGGATGATGATGTCTGATATTTCAACGTTTCAATGGTTATTAGACTTCCACATTGATGACTTTTTAACATTTCAAGGACTTTTGGTTTTAAATTTTTATTTTTCTTTGTTTGGGAAGCACTTAACCTCATAGAAAATCTTGTGTTTTAAAAAAATATTTTGAGTTATATTTTAAAGTGTATGACATAAAACATTTAGTACTTAACCAGTATTATAATAGCAATAGGGATTTTAAAAGAATAATTATATAACCAGTATTGTAACAATGAGAATTTAAAAAGAAAAAAATTAACCAGAGTCCTGTGCTTTAATTAATATCTTTATTTGTAACTATATAGGTTTTAAAAATCTGTTTTCATACAGTCCAAGTTTATTGAATATATTTTCCTTCAATTTTAACCCCAACTCATGCCTAGAGCACTCATTTAATGTTAAAATAGCTAATTTACAGAATTATTATTTCTGTGCCTTCAGATGCTTTATAATTTACGTGAATCATAAATTCCCTGTCTTTAAACTATACAGTGGTACCTCGATTTGAGAACTTAATGATTCGATTCTTGTCCAATTCAGTTTGTGACCAGAATCATTTGAAAAAAATAAGTTTGCGAACCAAAGTACCACTGGACATGGGAAAATTCTTCTTCTTGAAATGTATTGCCCCCAATATAACAAAACCCATTTTTCTTCTATTCCAGTTTGGGAATACCTGCTACTGCAATTCAGTTCTTCAAGCACTTTATTTTTGTCGTCCATTTCGGGAAAAAGTTCTAGCATACAAGAGTCAGCCTAGGAAGAAGGAGAACCTTCTTACGTGCTTAGCAGATCTCTTCCACAGCATAGCCACTCAGAAGAAAAAGGTTGGAGTAATACCTCCTAAGAAGTTCATCACGAGATTACGGAAGGAAAATGGTAATTCTGCTTCCCTATGCATTGCCTACAATCGTAGGTAGATTAAATACAGCATACCATAACTCAAGCTTTTATTGAATATAATATTTATACCCAAGAATGTGTTAACCATTGAGGAAGCAAAAATGACGTTCCTGTCTTCAAGAAAGTGTACTAGTTTAGTGGAGGAGATAGTTTTACAATTATTAATATGAAGATGTAATTAGTGTTTGATGTGTGTTATATACAAAGATAGAATTTTATATGTTGGGAAATAAGAAATTATAATCTGTTTTTTGGCTGCCTGGCTTTCTATCTCAAGAATGAAGTTTTTTTTTTTTCTATAGGATTGTGATTTGTTGTTTGTATAATGCTTTGGTATGTTAACTCATTTTATCCTCTCAGTAATCTTAGATATAGAGCACTTATTTTCACTATTGAAGCTGTGGGGGTGGAGGGGCAATCAACACAGAAATTTAAAACTTGACCCAAGTTGTACCCAAGGAAAGGAAAGAGACAGAGTAAGTACTGAGATCTCCTGGTTTAAGACAAATAAGTTTTAATTCTTCTCCTCCCTTTTAAAAATATAGTTTCTGCACAAGGCTTATAAATTCTTTGAATTAATTCTTTCAGTGAGACTGATTCCAGAAGAGTATTTATTTCAGGTCATCATCTCATAAGTTTTGTTTCCTTTTTCACAACTCCAGAATAGTCAAAAATCATTTTTGTTATTTGATATTGCTGGGATTTGTAAATATCTTTTGAAATATATTAATGGATTTGGGGGTTTTGAATTTCTTTCCAAGGATTATAAAGAAGTACATACAAATCAAAGAGGATTTCAAATACTATCCATTGCCTAGCTCTCTTCCTGATATTTTCTTTGTTTAAAATCTGTAAAATATGTTACCCATGTTAACATTTCTACTAACTTTCACTGTTTGATGGTTCTTCCTGAATCAGTTTCCTTCTATACTTTGTTAAAACTTTGTTTTATTCCCAAAAGACATTAGCTCCATATTGCTTTAACCATTATTGCTATACATTAATGATCTTTTTGATCTCTTTTGGAAAGAACTGATTTTAATTTCTATTCATTAATCAGTTTTTGTTTTTAAAATTCTAACTCATGTTACCTAGTCATAGTGTAAGAGGACTTCTGCACTGTGTTCCTGAAAATGGTATGACAATACCACTCCACATTTATGCTATCTTTGAGGATGGGATGGATACTAGCTGATTGTTTGCATTGATTATTATAATCTGATATCTGCTTATGTGCCAAGCACTGTCTAGGCACTGGGGAGAAGAAAAAGCCTTCAGGAATCTGACAGTATAGCAAGAAAGACACACAGTCAGCAGTTATGTAATACACGGTGTCATTGGTAGGAAGAAAAAGGAAGCGGGGATGGTGAGAAGGAGGGAATGGCCAGGGTTGAGTAGGCAGTTGGAGCAGCTCTCTGCTAAGGTAACATTAGAGATTCGAAGTGAGAAGCCATTTGAAGATCGGAGGTTAAACTGTTACAAGCAGAAAGAACAGAAAGTTCAATTGCCCTGAGTGCTTGAAGGATGGCTGGAAAGTTACCATGGTGTGAGATTGGAGTAAGATGAAGATGAAATTAGAGAGGAAGATAAAGGCCTAGAGCTTGGGTTATATTTTGAAAACCAAGGGGAACTCTTGGAGGGCCCTGAGCAGTTGGGTGGTGTGTCCTGATTTGCATCTGGAAAAGATCCCTCTGGAGGAACTGGTGAGCAGCGGAGCTAGGGAGATCAGCCAGAGGCTATGCCAGTGAGAATTAAAAGTCCTCTGTGCAGATGACTTCTGTAGGCTCATTCTACAGAAAATTTAGGAAAAAATTTGGAAGAAATGAAACAGGGTGGTTATCTCATTGTGTTAGCTAGAACTGTCAGCTGGACATTTTAGGATCATTTAAAGTGGGGCTTGAGGTCACGTCACCTGACATCTACGTGTAGCTGTGTGCTCCCAATTCACTGAATTCACTGAGCAATATATATAGTTTGTTTTAGACCAGATCTACTTTTTTTCATATCATTTTAGCTGTTTCAACCCCTATTGTTCATTCATTCCTTCATTCATTCATTCATTTATTCATGCAGAAAATGTCAAGCACAGCTAATATATGGCAAGTTCTGTTTTAAGTGCCAGGGATACAGCAGTAATGAGATGAAGAGTTGGTGTTCTTAAGGAACCTGCACATATGTAGCAGTGCTTCAGGTGTTGTAGAGAGATACAAAATCAAGTGTGTTCTTAATCTTGTTCTCAAATTACCCCTAATAGATTTGAGTAAATAAGTTCTTTTATTTATTTTAGTCAGTTCTTTTTCCCCAGAAGAGCATAAAAGGTATTTTATGTAATGAAAGCTACAGTACAGCTGTTTCTGAAGAAAACAAAATTTATTTTTAAAGCGACTTAACATTCATTTTTACATTAATGCTGCAGCTATATCAGGACTATAATTTATAATTATACATTTATTTAATAATGAAATTGTCTGTCTCTCCTACTAGACTGTCAGTTCCATGACGGAGGGAACCCATTTGTTTTTGCTCACCATTGTATTCCCAGCACATAATCCAGTTCCTGGCACATAGTAGGTGCTTACTAAATATTTGTTGAATGTATGAATGAATGAATGAATTTGTTTAACTTACCAAATCAGTTTTCCCATTATGCTGTTTAGCAGATTAGAAAGCCAACCATAAAAAACTAGTGTTTTAAAAATTATGCCAAGGGTGGTAGTGCACTCCTGTAATCCTAACACTAGGGAGGTTGAGGCAGGAGGGTTGCCATGAGTTCAGAGCATGCCTTGGTTACATTGTGAGTTCAAGGCCAGCTTGAACTACATAGCAAGACCCTGTCTCAAAAGAAAAAAAAAAAATGATATAGTTTGCAGGAATTGCTTGTTTTGATATTTGTTTTTCTCATTGATATTTTAAAATCTGTAATACCTGCTTTCGGGTACTGTTAAGATTCCAGTGTACTATTTCCAGAGAATGAAGTCAGTGGAGGTATTTCTGTGGATATGAAGTCATTGTTTCGTGGTAAAAGGATTACCCCCACATAAGATGATGTTAAAAAATTTTTGCACATCTTTTTGCTTTAGCAAAAAGCATTTATTTTGAAAAACATGAATGTGTGCTGAAATAATTTTCTTAACAGGGAAAAATTAGACTATATGAGTGTGTGGCCGTGAGCTGGCAGTTGCTTATCCTAGTGAATCATCTCCAGTTCTAACCAGAGCCACAGAAGTGTTTATAAAATCTTTTTATTAGCCTTCTTCCATTATCCTGTTTAGCTTCTTCCATGACTTTTCCAATTCATTCTCACTGTTCTTAAGTCTCCTCATTAATTGTAGCATAGTTACCTTCCAGCCCTTAAGTTAGTGAGCAAGAGGTGAAAGTGTTTGGTTTTTAAGGGCATCAGGTATACTTAAGGAAGCTATCTAGACATGGAAGTGTCAGGTTAGTGTAGGAGTCAGGGTGCCCTATAAATTAGGCCCACAGTGGGTTTGGCAAATGATCTCAGGGAGAGGACACTCAGGTCACAGTATGGCTATATCTTGCGTGCTTTTTTGACTGAAGGCAAGTTTTGATATGCAAGTGAAAGAGTAAGAGGTTAGAAATGTCAGCTGGGAACTAGAAAATGCTAAAAGGTTGAAGAGATGGGGAATTTATTTAGAACCCAATACAGTTACTAGAAGAAGCAACCAAAAGGGTTGGGAATAAAGAAAATCTCAATGATGAGGCAGAAGACAAGGTACAATAAGTAAATGAGAGTAGTAGAAGATAGGAGACTGGGATTGAGGAGTGTTCATTATTTTGGGGGATGGAGAATTATTGCTTTGAGAGGCAAGTTTAAAGGTAATTGACTTTATTTTTTTAATTTTTTAATTTTTTATTTTTTGTAATTGACTTTCTTTATCTCATCTTTGGCCTAGAGACCTTTACATGGTGGAGCCATGTGAGGATTTGAAGCATAAATTAGCTTGGACCACCGAGGGAGTTTGCAGAGTTGCAGGCTACCTCAGTGTTGCAGGTAGCTGCGGAACTTCTGCTTTGAGCAGGGAGTGGGGAAGGGTGACAGCTACTGTGAATCTACTATTCCTTAAGGGCAAAAATACAGCGGACATAGCCTGCCAAATTAAAGTTGTTTTGTGTGGCTAATGCAGAAACTGTTGGAACTCATGGCTTTTATTGTTCTTAAATATGATAGGGAGTTTAAGGATTATTCCTTCAGACTAAATTTATAGCAGGAAAATGAAATGTGGCTGTAACTGGACTCTTATATTTGATTTGAGATTCAAATTTGTGGGTGGATTGAGTATGTAAAAACAAAAAATGATCATGAAAGATTTGATGTTAATTTTACCATATAATTCAGGAGATATCAGGGAAAATTCTTATGCAGAAAGATTCAGGTTCTACACATTACAGTTTTATATTTGCAGTGTGAAATTGAAAGAAAGATGCCTTCATTAGTGGACTGAGTAAGGGAAGCTGACTTGAGCTAGATAAAAGAAGTGAAGCAGACTAGACAGGTGCAGGAATGGTTTTTAAAAATTGTGAGGGCTCAAGAAGTAACTATGAAGGATGCGCAACAGACTGTAATGGGGTGCAAAAAAGTAGGCTTTTTATTTTGTATAGAAAAATCTTCATACAGAAAAATAGAAGTTCCTCTGGATGCTCTGCCCTCTTCCCAACCCCTCAGTCTCTTCTTAGAAATAACTTGCTCTAGCCAAACCTTTCTGTGGCATTTAAATATATATATCCAGGTAGAAAGCTGTAGTTACAGTTTTGTGGAGTCTTTTGATTGTTGGTTGTTGTTAATAAATGGGATCCATTTATACATGTTCAGCATCTTTGCTTTGTTGAATATCTTGAAAAGTTTGCTATATTATTATTTTATGTGGAAGTGCTTCCTTTTAAACTATGGTATTGCCCAGTGTTTCATAACAAAATTATAACATAATTTGAATAAACTATTCTGTTGATAAAAACTTAAGATATTTTCAGACTCTTACTGTTATTAATGAGCAATCATATCCAACTTGTTTTGGTACGTATTTATCTGGCTTTTGTCTCTAGGTGAATTAGGTTGTATTCTGTTAAAGGTATTGCTGAAATTACACCTCAAAGCAAGTATGCTATGCATGTTCACAGCTCCAGGAACAATGGTTAAAAATGCCCATTTTTCCATACTTAAGCCAATACTAGATACAAAGTCATTTTTTTGTTTTGTTAAAGTGATGGGCGTAAAATGATGTTTTGACATTGTTTTAAATTTTTTATCTCCCATTTTCTTACCATTTATTATTTGGGCATTTCTATTTCTACATTCAATTGCCGATTATTTTCCTTTGGCATGTTTTGGTTGGTATTTTTTCTAGTTTTGTAAGAGATTATAAAAAAATACTCTGAATATTAAGACTTTACATACTTGGGACATTAATGTGTAGATTTGTTCTTTATTTTTTTACTTGTCTTCATTTATGTTGTCTTTGCCATACAGAAGTTCTTAAGTTTTATGTGGTTTTTCCTTTCTGAGTTTTGTATTCTGCTTCAGTAACAATAATAGTAGTAATGTTCATGTTCTTTGAGCACTTGCAGTGTTTTATTCTGACCACTTTTAATCTTCATAATAACCATTTGAGGCAGACATTATCGTTAGCCCAGGTTTTTAGATGAGAAACTGTACCTTAGCGGGGGAGGTTAAGTAAATTGCCTGTGACATTTAGAGGTAGAACCATAATACCATCCTTTACAGCCTGGCCCTAACCAGGTACACCTTTAATTGGTACTTTTTAAAGCCAGTCCGCTCTGCCACATACTGAATTGAACCCAGGTTCTTGCACATGCTAAGGAAGCACTCTACCAATGAGCTACATTTTATTTTTTATTTTGAGGCAGGATCTCTGTGTTTCTCAGTCTGTCCCAGAACCTGGAATCCTCCTGTCTCAGCTTCATGAGTAAAGTTACAGACATGCACCTCTGCCCCCAGATTAATTGGTTTTTTAATACCAAGATGGAAATCATTATTCGTTTATTTAGAATATACCTCATCTGTTAATACCTTCACTTGTTGTAATTTTATTTTTATAACTTTGCAAAGGAGGATGGTGTCTTTATTTTATAGACAGTTAAAACCTTTTTTATTAGTATAAGGTTGAACATTTTCACATTTTTTAGGCTTTTGGGTTTCTTTCCTGTAAATCGGTGATTTCAGGTCTTTTGTCTAATTTGCTTTTCTTTTGTATGAGAAGATACTATTTTTACATTACAGAAGATGTTAATAATTTCCAGGTTTCAATGTTACTCTTTTTTTCCTGTAACTTTTAAAATGATTTCTAATGCATAGAACTTTAATTTTTGCAGTCATACTTGTAGCTTTTCTAAAATATAATTTTAATTTCTTTTGCCTTAGATCTTTCCTAATTTCCTCTAAATTTGTATGCATTCATTTAAAAAATTAAATTGTAGTCTTTCTGGAATTTATTAAATGTGCATTGAAGATCTAAAAATAAACTTTGCTAAATAGGTAATTTTTCTCAGTGCAGTTTATTGAACAATGCAGAGATGTTCTTGTTTAAGTAGGCTCACTCTTTCCATTACTTTCTATGTTGCCTGGTGGAATTAGGCGGCCTAGTTTGAATCTTGGGTTTTGCCTTTCCTTGCAATGTGACTTTACCCTCTCTAATTCTGTTTTGTCATTGTAAAATAAGGTTAATGGCAATATCACCTGGTTATTAAGAGATTCAAACGCGATGGTTCTTCTAAGGCCCTTGCTGTTCTGTGATAGGGTTGCATCATGTCAAGCCCAGCACTTGATATTAGCATTGCCAGTGTCCCCATTTTAGCTCTTCATTTGTGTAACCGCACAAAACATTCATGGAATTTTTAAATCTCACAGTTGGAAGAGACTTGAGAAATTCTCTGGCTTTAAAAGATAGTTCCCAATACCATAGCAGAACCTGACTGATAGCAGAGTCACCTGGAGGGCCACTGAAAAGTTCCAGCTTCTGGGCTTCACTGCACACCTACTGAATCAGACTCACTGGGATGCATGGCCTAGGAATTTACTTTTAATAAACTGATTCTTAAGTGGTTAGCATGGCCTTGTCAAGTGGTTGAACAGCTTCTGCTTTGAAGCTTGCTGTGTTGAGATATTTTTGGAATAATAGGTTAGATGAGCTAATAAAAAGCAGTTGTTTCGTATCTGCCCAGTATCCTGTAAATGTGTGATAGGTTTTATCCTGTTTTTATGGATCATTATTAAGATTTTCATTCATCTTAACTTTATTTTTCTCCAGTTCAGTCCTAACTTTCAGATGTGAAAGTTATGTTTCTTGTACATTACAAGTAATACTAAACATTTGTAATTTTAGTTTTGATAAAATACTAGGCATTCATTTTTAAATTGTTTTTTGTAAAGTTATTAATTCTGAAATAATTCTTTAATATTCCATTTTTATTTTTAGAGCTTTTTGATAACTATATGCAACAAGATGCCCATGAATTCTTAAATTACCTACTAAATACAATTGCTGATATTTTACAAGAAGAAAGAAAACAGGAAAAACAAAATGGTCGCTTACCTAACGGTAACATTGATAATGAAAATAACAACAGCACACCAGACCCAACGTGGGTTCATGAGATTTTTCAGGGAACATTAACTAATGAAACCAGATGTCTTACTTGTGAAACTGTAAGTACATCCTAAAATGTTATGTGGGAAAAAATGTGATTCATTATTTTAAAGGTTCTTGAAAATGAGAGTATGGGAGATGAACTTAAAAATCTTAGGTATAATATAAATGTTAAATATGTATTTTTCATTTAAAAGGAATCTTTATTTTATGTAATACTGCTGATTGACAGTTAATACCTGAGATGATAGATACTTATAGTAGTCTGAACTATTTAATTTTATTTCAGATTAGGAAATCATAGGACCATGTTGTGGAAATTGTGTGTCTTAGGTAAACTTGCAGGAAAATTATAGGTCAGAGGTGTACAGTTGTCTGTCTCTTAACGAGGATACATTGTGAGAAGAGCATCCTAGGTGATTTCATCATTGTGGAGATTCTAGAATATACTTACTCAAACCTAGATAGCAGGTCAATTCATGTAAACACGAAATATATGAGGCTGCATAACATAGTATACACTGTACAGTACACTTTTCCTTTAAAAGGAATATACTCTAATGATAAAAGGTTTAGTAAATACATAAAATAGGAACATTATCATTTACTTTCAAGCATTATATACAGTACTGTCCTTTTGTATGATTGGTAGCACAGTGGGTTTGTGAACATCATCATCATCACAAATACATCAAAAATATGTTGTGCTGTAACAGAGACAGTTCCCACATCATTAGGTGATAGAAATTTTTCAGCTCCATTATAATCTTACAGGACCACTCGTGTGGTCTGTCCTTGACCAAGGTGGCATGTGACATATGGTTGTGTGTTGTTTTTTCTTCTTCCTACAGTTAGTGTGGTATGTATTGTCGCAGTAAAAATTACTAAACCATACTGTGTACATTTGAGAAGGGCAAAATACCTTTTCATTGGATACTTTGTAAAAATGAAGCTTAAAAATTAGTTATTCCCAGGTTTGGCTAACCTAGCACTCATTTTAGTCTTTGCCATCTAATTTCTCATCTGTGGCATGAAAGGTGAGACTTTTTAAAACAAGCATCTATTATCTAATTAATGATCAATGTCAGTAGTGTAATTTTACTTAGTGAAGGACACAATACTAGTAAGTTAAGTTCTCTAAATAAAGTCTTAGTGGTGAACCTCATTCACCTACATGAAGGAGATATAACTGAGTGCTTGAATACATCAACAGTGGCTTGTGAAGATGTTTTCGTGTTAGAGGAAGAGTATCTTTGGTGTAAGATTTTTTTTCCATTGCCCCATCCATCAGTTAATTGCAGTAATGACTTGACAACTTTGATGTCAGGAATTGAATTTTAAAGATGTATCTTATAAGAAAACATGTTATTATAAGATGAATTCCAAGCCCTAAAAATATTTTGTTCATTTATTAGAGTAGTAGTGCTATTGAAGTAGTAGATGTAATGGGAGTTTTGGAGTCTTTTGATGTTTATTAGAGCTTGATCTGTGTTAGAAAATCTCGGATGTGTATAACTGAGTCGTCTTTAATGAGGCACAATAGTTGAATTTGTTTAGGATGTTGAGAAATGCAGAAGTAGATGAAACAGGCAAGGTAGATTCAGGGCCCACCTTTAAGGCCTTTGGGATGTTCTACCAAGGCCTCTGAAGTCAGTGTTGTAGCCTAGGGATGAGAGGGGAGTTGTAGTAGTCATTTTCCCATCACTGGAACAAAATACCCAATACCTAACCCAAAAGGATCAGAGGTTTATTTTGGCTCACAGTTTGTAAGAGTTCAGTCCATGGTTGACTGGCTCCAAGGCAGAAGTGGCAAAATACTTGTGGAAGAATATGGTGGAGGTCGGCTGTTCACCACATGGTAGCCAAGAAGGGGGAGAGGGGGAGATAAAAAAAAAAGAGCTGGGGACAAGAATATGCTTTACAGATCATGCCCACGTGACTTACCTCTAGTCGGGCCCCACCTCCTAAAAGCATATTGAGCTATGAACTCACTAATGGATTAATCTACTGATGAGTATAGTACCCCCATAATCCAGTTGTCTACCTTTGAACACAGGAGACTGGGGGAGGGGCATTTACATAAAAATGGATGTAAAGATGCAGCGTTTTTGAAGGAGAAAGTGATATCAGCCATCTCTATTCAGAGTGCTTAAATATTTATTAATGTGACTTGTAAGGAATGGGTATTGATATTCCTATACATTCTTCACTAAGTCCTTCTGTGGCCTGCATTATATGTTTGTGGATGGTTCCCCAACAATTAAGCATGATTTGAGAATATTCTCTCAGAACCTAAGGCATCATTATTCAGATTCATTAAATCACCATGTACCATGTCTATATCTAGGACATCCAAGGACGTCTCAAGAGTACATATATATCATTTCTTTTTTGGTTTAGTATTGCACAAGTATTTACCAATTATGCCAGGTAGAAGATGAGTAGATGAGAAGAAGATAATTAAAACATGAGTCTCTGATCTTAAGCTACCCATAGGATAGTAAAGACCACCCAGCAGATAGTCCCAGCACAGTGGGTTACAGTAGAGGTAAGCCCAGGATGCCATCCGAGTCAGAATTGTATATGTAATCCAAGTGGGAGTGGGGAGTGTGGGGAATGTGCAGGACTGAGCTTCCTGGAAGAGGTAGGGCTTTTGTGTTAGTAATGCATTTGTTGCAGTGGGGAGGGGGCTGTTTTCTGTAGTACTTCTTTCTAATGTTGTTTGTTCTATGAGGGCTCCTTCTTAGGCTCTTTTCTTGGATTTTCTTTCACTATTTATTCATTAAATGTGGGTGTTACCAAGGGTTTCATCCTGGGTTGCTTTTCATTCTGCACTGTGAGGATTATGTTCCATTTATATTATCATGTGAACTGCTGAGTCCAAGTCCAAATCTCTAGCCTAGATGTTTTCCCTGAGTCTTGAACTAGGATCTCTCAGTGCTTTGTATGAGGTGATGTTGGTTGGACACACTAGCCCAGTAGAAATGCCACTTCTGAAAGTTTAGTGCTCCACTTGGTGACTGCCTGGTACCAACATGATTGCAGTACAAACATAGTAAGTCAGATACACCCAGATGATCCAGAGCAGCGTTACGTCATGAGGGTTTTTTTCCTTCTTCTAATTATCCTAAAAGTGAACATTTAGAATGAAGACCTCTAAGGCAGTATCTGAGAACCTCATTAGGAGACACACCAGGCTGGTTCATCTTTACTTCTCTTCAGCCTACACATGAACCCTCCTGGATGTGCTCTAGCCTACCTCTGATGTACTATCCCTTGTCACCCTGTCAGCTTTCCTACTAACTCAGGCTAATTATTTTTCCCTAAACATATCAACTTGTCTTTCACGTCTCTGAATCACACACCTCCCCACACACTTCCACCTTTGTTGTATTGAGAATTGAACCCAGGGTTTTGCATGTGCTAGATAAATCTCACAAAGTTGCCCAGGCTAGTCTTGATCTTGTGATCCTCCTGCCACAGCCTCTTAGAGCTGGAATTACAGGCCTGCATCTTGTGCCATAGCTTCTTCACCTTTGTTTTTCACTGGATATTTTGAGACCCAGATCATTTATCTTGTAGTATTACTCTACCTTGTGTTGTATGGTAAAATGGCATCTTTTTTTTTTGTACTGGGGATCGAACTCGGGACCTTGTGCTTGTGAGGCAGGCGGCAGAACCACAGAGCTAAATCCCTGGCCCTAGAATGGCATCTTAAATGAAGGTTTAGGCTGTAAGGTTAGCTTAATGTAGAAAATTAATGTAGTCAAATCCTCTTGAAACTGCCTTGAATTATTGTAAAATACAGTATGCACAGTGCTCCTGTTTACTTGTATTTGTCTAAACTAAGATATGGATGCCTGTGATCAGTCACAGCTTCATGCAACTGAGTCTGTAACACTGATGCAATGTTGAAATAGGAAAGCATTTAAAACCTAATGTGTAGTCAGCATGGATGAAAGGCAGAAGGGAACCGCATCAGGCATGTTTCCTACTGCATGCTCACCTTAGAATAGAATCACTGAAGGAAACAGGGAAATGTATGTGTGAAGTTCTGTTCTATTGTAATTCAAATAATCGGACAATAACTTTCTATAAAATAATTTACTCAGATTAAAATCTTGTATTAGATTTTGGAAGAGATAAGGGTAAGTCATAAGTCAAGATTATAATTTTGGATTTTCTACAGGTACTTCATTCAGTCTTGGTTTGTTTTCTGAGAATCAGTATATGTGTACATGCTTTGAAATAACATTCAGATTTTGGAAAATAATGAAATTTTGCAGTCAGATATTTGCTTTGATGTTTTACTTATCATGTGATAACTTACTTATTCAATATCCTTTTGTATATTCAAGTCATGTAGTTTTCTTTTGAACTTGAGGAAAAATAATTATTTAGAATATACTGAATTATGTCAATGAGGAACCATGGTTTCTTAATATTTGAAGAAATCAAAGATGATTTCCTATTTTTACAGATAAGCAGCAAAGATGAAGATTTTTTAGACCTTTCTGTTGACGTGGAACAAAACACATCAATTACTCACTGTTTAAGGTATGTGTAGAATTATTGTTTTGAAATTTAAATAATTTTTTTAGTGAATTCATGATTTTCTTCTATATACAAATAAAGTTATTTTTAATTTTACACAGGGGTTTTAGCAACACAGAAACTCTGTGCAGTGAATACAAATATTACTGTGAAGAGTGTCGCAGCAAACAGGAAGCACACAAACGGTAATTTAGTGCCTCTTGGATCTTTCAGTGATTTTTGTTTTTGCATGTTGCAGGGCCTTTTCAAGCTGACAGTGTTCTGTGAGAAGTTACACTGAGTAAAACTTAATTTTATCACCAATGATTAAGGCTGATTGAGTATTGCTAGATAAATGACACTGCATAGAGTGCTTTTGTTACAAAACTGTCCCCTCAGGTGATTTTCTACATTTAGTGATTATATAATAGTCATAAACTAGTACAGATAAAAGTTTGGCTTTGAAGCTTTCCTAATTATTTGGAGACTTTTTCTTGATGAGGAAGAGGGAGAAAATTGTACCCCTCACCCCATTCCAGCTTCTGCTATTCCTACCTTGGATAATGTATGCCCTCATAGTATGTTATAAACACAGTTTTGTTGTCAAAGATGAAATCATCATTGATGTTACCTTTCTAATTTGAAACAGTCTCAAACTCACAGATGAGTTGCACGAATAATACCAACAATGTTGTTTTTTTTTTAATCCTACACCCTTTAAAAGTGCATTACTAATAGGCTAGTTCATGATCCCTAGACACTTCAGTAGCTATTTCTTAACAAGAAAGAAGTTTTCCTCCATGCCCAATCCCATCCAAATTAGGAAATGCAAGGGCATGCTACTATTATCTTAGGTCTAATTCTGGTATCATGACATTAATTCCTTCATAGAGGCAGGATTTAGTCCAGAATCATACATTGTTCCCTAGCCTTTTCTTCCCTTTATGATCATTACTCTTAAGAGAATCACAGGTTAGTTGTTTTATAGAATGTCCTTTGTTTGGGTTTGTCTTGTGTTTTCTGTTGATTAGATTTAGCTTGTGTATCTTGGACAGGAATCTTTTAAAAGTGGTGCTGCACTCTTCTCATTGTATCCTGTTAAGTAGCTTACAACTTTGATGTGTCTCATGTGTTGCGGTGTCCTCATGTTTGATGACTTCCTAGAAGGCTTCAGTACTGAGCTTATAGTCTTGCTGTCAGCTAAGATTTATTACAGGGAAAGGATACAAAGCACACCCACCAAAGGGGAAAGAAAACCAGGCAAACTTCCAGAAGTCTCTGTGCAGTAGGGTCACACAAAACACTGAATTCCTCCAGCATAATGGCATCATGGGAAGCTCTTCACAAACTCACTGGCCAAGATTTTTATTGGGGACCAGTCATATAGCCACCCTCTGCTTAGTACACACCATTGTCCGGACCAGTGTTGTTTATTGCAACAATCTGGGTACAGTGAAATACCTTCATCATTTAATGTGTAGTAGGAATACTCCCCAAATCCAACTTCTCAGATACCATCTAAGGACTAGCCTTGGAAGTGGGCCTTTCTAAAGGTAGTCTGAGGCCATGTTAACTCTTACCCTTACTGGTGCTGCTATCCCTGAACATTTGATGATGGTGATATTTCTCAGAGTTCTCTACCATTAAGCTACACTTTTCCTGTTGTAATTTGTATTGCCTTTCTATTACAGTATTTACTTACTAGGTCAGAGATATTTTGAAATTGTAAATGTAATATCTCCTCCTCACTCCCTCCCCCCTATTCTTCCTCAGTATGGACCCAAGGATTCCTTTTTTATTCAATGTGTTATAATCCTTTACCATTCTTATTTATTTCCATGTTTTAGTTATCCCCAGGTTGGCCAGTAGGACCCCTCTTCAGGCTGCCTCCTATGTCTTTTTGATATGCCCATCATTTTTTGAGCAATTCTTTACTTTCTGGCACTAGATATCCTAGGCTCATTTTTCGAAGGGACTGTGGTACTCATTAGGCAAGAATGATGTTTGGACACCAGGACTTTATGTAGGTGTACTCACTGCTATTGAAATATCATTATTCCTAAGCTCCCTTAATGAACATCGTGAATATACCATTACCTATACCACTATTTACTTCTCTTATTCATTTACTGATCTTTATAGCTATATTAAAAACCATGAATTCCAGTGATAGCTCCAGTTACAACTAATAAGATACAGTTTATTTTAGTGTCTCCTTTTTAATATTTACAGTTCCCTTCTGAGTGAAAATTCACTTCTATTACCTTTGTGATATTTACTTACTTGGTCAGTGCACTTGTGACTAATTAATTTCACTTTCCCTACCTCCTCTTTCCTTTACACATACATATGTGTACATGTACACACACACTCTCAGGACACCCTCAGTCACCTTGGGCTTCCCTTTCCTGCTTACTCTGATAACTGTCTTATTTGGTCCCACATAGTGATTGAACTGAATTGTTTATAAGGGAAAGAGCTAGGATTTTTAAGTGATTTTGTTTTTGTTTTGGACAAAGATAAGTTTATTAGGAAAGGAGGTGTTTTGGGTAATGGGTATAGGTAAATCAGAGCAGATTACTTACTAGTCCCTGCCATTAGTGCAGATAATGCAGACATCTCAGTTAAGTTTGAACAGAAGCACAGGGACTGACATATTAGATTCATCTTGCAAATGTAGAGAGTGCTTAAGACTATTGGTTAAGGAAGATAGGGTCAAAGACTAAATCCAGCTAAGAGAAATACAACTTACAGACTTTGTTGACTACACGGAGTAGGCCCCATCTGCTAGTATATCTGCCCTTCCTATAGACTGATGTTTACACAAGTATCATATACAAGTAGTTGAGAATTAAGTTGAGCTATTTGTTTTGAAGACATCTCTGATATTTTAATATATTGAGCAATACTAGGTATTAAATTACATAAAGGATATATAGTCTTTGTAAAGAAATTGGAAAAAATAGATGACTATGAATCATTATAAAAGCATTGTTGACATTTTTATATATCCTAGATTTTATAAGTGTGTATGTATGTACACATGTATGATGGTATCAAACTTTATATAGTTTTATAATTTTTTTACTTAACAATTGAGGCCATGTCAAGGAAAAGACACTTTTATATCATTCTTTAGAGGTGCTGCATAGTATTTTTTTCTGTACAGACATACTACTCGTCCTCTAAATCCAACAGTTTAGATTTATACCTCATGTATTTTTGGATACTTTTTAAGAGTATTTCTGTAGGGTAAATTATGGTCAGCTCCCAGAAAGATAACTCTACAGAAATTACCTGTTTCTCACTAGGGTTTGGTATCCACCCTTCTGTTAACATTCCATTGTGTCATTTAATCTGTTGGAGTCTAAGGTCCACTTCCAAGGTCCCTCTCAGCTCTAAAAGTTTATACTTTCTAGTGTCAGAATAAGCTGGTGTTGACTCTATAGCTCATAGATTTTCCTAAAAACAAGCATTAGTTTGACTTTAAAAGGTTTCACCCTACATGAAGCACAAAAAAAATGATTGTCCCAATGACACAGAAAAAGAATTTGACAAAATTCAACACCCTTTCATGATCTAAAAAGAAAAAAAAAATTCAACAGTGTAGAAATAGAAGGAAATTACGGTCCTCAGGGTAATAAGGACCATATGTGAAAAGCTCCCAGCAAACATCATACTTTATACTCACTGATGAAAAACTGAAGGCTTTTCCTCTGAGATCAGAATAAGACAGGATGTCCACTCTTGCAGCTTCATTCTGGCCAGAGTAATTAGGCAACAGAATGAAATAAAAGGCATCCAAAATAAAAAGGAAGAAGTAAAATTCTTTCTTCTCCCAGATCTTATTTATAAAACCCTATAGATTTATATACAGCAACCTGTGAAAACTAATAAACATGTTCAGCAAAATTGCAGGAGACAGAATTAACACTCAAATGTCAGTTGCATTTTCCTATATACTAACAGTGAACAATCCTTGAAAGCAAATTAAAGAAATAGTCCTATGTACAAAAACATCAGAAGTAATAAAAAATACATAGGAATAAGTTTAACAGGCAAGGTGAAAGACGTATACTGGAAAATAGAAAAAATTGCTGGGAAAAATTTAAGGAAGATGCAAATGAATGGAAATATACCCTGTGTTCATAGATGGAAGCCTTAATAGTGTTAAAATGTCCATACTCCCAAGAGCAATCTGATTCATTGTAGTGTCCATCAAATTCTCAATGGCAGGGCTGGGTGGTGTGTATGTGCCTGTAATCCCATTGCTCTAGGAGGCTGAGGCGGGGGATTACAAGTTGGAGTTCCTCCTGGGAAATTTAGACTCTGCCTCAAAATAATAAAAGGGCTGGGATGTAGCTCAGTGAGAAGGCTCTGGGTTCAAACTCCTGACCCCCTGTCCTCCCAAAGAAAATCCGCAGTGCCATTTTTTTTTTTTTTTTTTTTTTTTGCAGAATCAAAAAATGCATCCTAAAATTCACATGGAACCATAAGACTTTGAATAGATAAAGAAATCTTAACAGAGCCAGAAGCATCATACTTCCTGATTTCAAAATATAGTGCTACAGTAATTAAAACAGTATGGTACTCACTTGACATACCACTGTTACAAAATAGCCTGTATATAAATCCACTCATACGATTAACTGTTCTTTGACAAAGATGTCAAAATCACATAATGGAGGAAGGAAAATTAATTCAACAAAACTGGATATCTTCTTGCAAAAGAATGCATTTGGATCTTTAACCTAACACTGTGTACAAAAATTAATTTAGAATGGTTTAAAGACTTAAATGCCAAACCTGAAACTCATAGAGTACTTAGAAGAAAACAGAGAAAGTGCTTCATGAATTTAGATTTGGCAATAGGATGATAACAAAAGCAGAGGCAATATAAATAAAAATTGGTAAATGGGATTTCATCAGACTTAAATCTGAAAAGTGAAAGAAATGACAGAATGAAAAGCAGTCTACAGAATGGAAGAGAATACTTGGAAACCGTATATTTCCTAAGTGGCTAGTACCCAGAATATATTTTTAAAAGTTGCAGCTAACAGCAACAAAATAATCTATTTTAAAAATGGACACAGGACTTGAATAGACATTCCTCCAAAGAATGTAAACAAATGACCAGCGAGCAATTGAAAAGATGCACATCAGCAGTTATCAGGGAATGCAGTTCAAAACCACATGATATTATCAC